CACCTCATTATGTCATTTGTTGTTTTTTTCTCCCCCAGCTGATTGACCTGTGTTCTTGTGGAGAAGACAAGATCAACTACCATGACTTCCTTAGAGCCTTCCCCTCGTGCTCTTCCTCCAGAATCTGAAGAACAAGACCAGCAATAAAATTCTTAGCTGAGCTGACTTTAAGACATTGTACTTCAAAAAGGATACTCTAGGCTTCACCTTTGCTTCACTCGCTTTCCCCCTTCCCTTCTCACTAGAGCCAACTAATTTCACCCTCACTCTTAAGTTTTTCTCCTGCCTAACCTCTCCCTGCCCTTTTAGCTACCACCAAGCTCAACTTTGCAGCTGCTGAATATTGAAATGAAACTCACATGAGAACTTCAGGGAGCCAAAGCCAGGTTCTCCTGTTGATCTCTCAACTCTTTAATGCAGTGCAGCAAGGTTTGGTAGAACTAAAGCTCTCTAAAGCCTGGAGCGATAACCATTCTAGACTTCTCTTACAGAGTTGAAAGGGGCCTTTCACCTTCAAGCAGCGAATACTGCCAGTTTAAATTGATATTTGCATTGCAAGAAGATCTAAGAGCCCTGCCATGGACCACGGCAAACTCATGCTTGCTAGTCTGAATGTAAGCAAGTCATGCATGGCTGCTGTAAAAGTGTTAATAAATCTGCTTTAAATAAAAGTACTTCATGGCTGGAATAGCTGAGGATTAAAGTGAGGGGGGAAAAACCCAACAAAACTGTGATTCTAGGTTTACTTGGAACGGTGAGTTGAGCACTCGCATAGCTGGGGTCTGTACACAAATCCGCTGACAGCAGCTCTGCATTTTTTAACAGAAGATTCAGTGAGTGGCTTTAGGACTGAGATGCTATCTAAACCCATCTTATGCACCTCGTCATCTTACCAGGCAGGTCCAATGAAAAGGGGACGCTAGTAGTTGGCATACCAATCGAGTTATGACACTTGTGCTTCGCTTACAGTCTCATTGCTCACCTTCTCCACGAAGGTAAAACGTGGCAGGGACCTTCCCACCCCAGACGACACCTGCCCGGTGTTGCCATTGAGCCCACATGAAAGGCAGCAGAGAACAAAGCCCTTTGGAACAAAAGGCTTATTTAAATCAGCTTTCTGTGCTGAGGATTCCCACTTCTCCTCAGACAACCGAGTCTCCCCTTGTTGAAAGGTCACCACTCCTCCCTTCTGGGCCCGTTTGGTGCTGCTGCTCGCTCTGACCGAGATTCACTACAGCTCTCTCTGGTCCACCTCAGATTTCAAAGCAGGGCCCTGTGCGAGGTGCCTTCCAAGCAGCAGCTGACAAAAGCTGACTCCTAAAGGCCACCTCAACCAGCTTTCCAGAGACCAAGAACTTACGGATGACCTGACCGGAGCTGGAGGCTGCAGCAAAGAGAGTCAGAAACTGTTTTCTGCACATGCTATGAAACTGTAACCCAATATTCAGCCAAATTATGGAGCGTGCCCCGGGCCAGCTGCAGAACGTGTACAATTCAGCTCACCCTCAAGCATGCACCTAAACCACATCAGATAAATCATATCCTACAAATGCCCTTATCCTCCACTCCCAGCGATGGAGGCAGCCACGGATAACGCACTCAGAAGCGGCTGCCCGTGCTGTAGACATGGGAAATGCGAGAAGGTGAAGCTCAGCTGTGGGGAATGCGAGGAGACAAGACGCAGCAGCAAAAGGGACAGACCAGGCGGGTGTGGCAGGAGAGGGACACGTACAACCCATCGCGGCTTGCGCTGGGAAGGCGCGCAGCTCAGCAGAGAGATAAAGCACCAGCGGGCAGCAGCAACGGAAGAATCTATGCCTTTTATTTATTTATTTCAGAAAAATACTTTTGCTGAGTTTATCACAAAAGTCATTTAACAACAAACAACAACAAACAAAATCCGTACAAAAATTTAAGTGACAGGAAGAATGCAACAAACGGGACAAGATATCAGAGGCTGTTACTTCCCCCGACCCCCTCCAAAATGAGGACATTTGCACTGAAGCATAAATATGGAAGAACAGAAATTTTCCTCGAGTTCCTTCGCTCGTTTGGTCCGTCGAGTTCAACATATTCAAAGAAAAACTACGTGCCTTTGCCTGGCTTTTGCAACAGCCACTCTTCCCGGCTGCCAGCAAAACCCCACACACGGCCCCGAGGCGAAGTAACAAACTTCACAGTTTGAGTATAAAGCCTGCCAAACCACCTATTACACACTCACAAAGTTTACCAGAAGGCTGGAAAACAAACCCCATAATCTCTGTCTGCTGTTAACACAAGTCAGCGTCCACCTACCAAGACTTCACCTAAGGCAAGAGACTGAGGCTGCTGTGAATGCCCAAGCACTGCAGCAAAGGCAGGGCAGCTACAGGCTTCGAGAGTCACTTGGAGGCAAGGGGGAGGCACGCTGGAGCAGTCATTCTTCCCTCCAGCTAGGAAGCCTACCGAAAATACGTTTGAAAATGGTGAGTTAAGGGTAAGGGGACCTACAGGGGGGAACTGGAACTTGTCGTCTTTACTACTAACCCAAACATGATGAAGAAGAAAGAATCCTAAATAAAAAAAAAAATAATAAATGCAATTGTAATGCCCCATAACATAAAAGTCACTCAAAAATGTTACGTGAAATGCTACATCTGTTCTTCCTCCGCCCCTTTCTCTTCCCAAGCCCATTCTTCAACTATCTAAAGACAAAAAGAGAGAACTACTGGTATTTCACAGCTCTTCTAGGCTAGGGCAGGAAAACACTACGCTTCACCCCCAAAATTACAGACTACTCCATCCCCGACCTCCTTCGGTGGGATAACGGACACAGACTACAAAAGCAGTCTCAAGCCCCCAGGAAGGGTGCAGGCACTAGCGTCACACTGCGAGTAAAGACCTGCAGCTTTGCACAGTCTCTAGCAACTTTCTGCGCCGTGGTGGACAAGAGCTCCTGTTTGGGGTTGGATTGTGGGTTTTTTTTTTTTTTGCAGAAGACACAGGGCTTGGCAAGATGGGGCACCAGAAGAGCACGCCCTCGAGGGAAGCGGGCTCTCGGCCTCTTTGTACGCAGAGCAACCAAGGAAAGACTGACCGCTACGGGCTCGCGGTGAAAACACGCCGTTTTGGGAAAGAACAAGCTCTTTGGGCTGGAGAGAGGCTCGGTCGGCTGAGAAATGCCACGGACGTAGAGGCAGTGACTGCGGGCTGGCGGCCGCGGGATGGTGCTCGCACGAGAAGACAAGAGGCAGAAGCGGCCC